TTTCAAAGTAAAACATCTTTAAGACTTTTTTTCTGTCAGTATTGGAGTCCTGAAGGGCGTACTGTAGATGAATAATGTAAAAGAAAAAAAACAGTAATTTATAAAAAATTATTAATTCTTTCTCTGCGACCAGTACCGGTAGCACAGACGCTTGGGAATCCTGTGCTAAAAATACTTTTTTTTTTCAAGTTTTCAAACCCCATATCACGACCTAAACCCACACTCACCTTTCATATACATTTCCAAGTTGATTAAAAAAAAAAAAAAAAAAATTAGTTTGAACCTTCTATGAAAAAAATGTTTAAAATAAATAAAAATCCAAACTTATACTAATAATAATCTTAATTTTCATTCAAGTTGGCTTGGGGACTGGGGGACTGAGATAACATGAATGTTCACAGATTTTTTTCCTAATGACTGCTTCTGTATTTTTTCCTGTTCTACACATGCTTCTCCCGAAGTGTCTTGAAATCCCCTGGAGCTTAGTGTCTCACACTTTGAAAAACCCCCCAGGATTAATGTATGTTTTTTAGGACTAATGATGTGAAAGTTACAGACCTCAGCAAAAGCTTAAAGGATTCTGTCAAAGGACCAAAAAAAAAATTCTTTTGACCAAAGCGGCAGGGGGAAAATTTGAAACATTTGAAACGTCCTGGTGAGAATAAAAGTTCTTCTTAACATAAATAGACGTCTAGGGGAACAACACCCTGTACCAGTAATGGCAACAAAATTTTAAAAACCTTAATTCTAATTTTTGTGTATCTGGTGGTTTTTCCACAGAATGAGTCTCTCCAAGGTGAAAATCAACGTTGTGACTCTCTGGTCAATTGACTTCTGACCTTGTGTCAACAGAATTGACATCTAGGGTTGAGATTTCTGATCTGCGCCTTGTGTTTATTTTGAAGCTTAGCTGAAGTTGTGTGCTGATACTGTCTCTCATTTCCGATCTGGCGCGATCTAATCTGTTTAATTGACGCGGCATTTGTCCATCATCAGATTTGCTCGCTATCCAGTCCCCAGACAGCAGCGAAGACGCAGCCGACGGGATATTTCTCAATGATTAAAATGGCAGCGGCAACTGCAATGCAACCGCAAAACGAATATCGTAAAATGATCAAGGCATTCGAGAGGAATTCCTCTGTTTGCAGGAGGATGGAAACTAACTTTTCTTGAATTTGACATCCCTAAATGCAACCATTGTTTTAGTTAGTTTAGTTTCAAAATATTAACTTTTTTTCAGTTCCCTAAAATTTTAACAATTGGCTTTTGTATAAATAGATTTGGGGAAAAGGAATCGGAATCTTGAAACCTCCTCCTGTCACAGGATTTTCCGAAAAGAAATGTACGGCTTATGATAAGGACCGTAACTGCAGATGTGTCTCCAACTCAATCAAAGCAGGGCAAAAGTGATTAAACTGATGTTACACAAGCGTGTGTCATGGTAGAGGGACAAGGGAAAAGGCCTGAGGGGAGTGCACACCAATGAGGTCAACCTCACAGCTCACCGTGCTCGAATTGTACATATTCGCTGCCCTTAAACGTGCGGCAATGTTTGCAAAAAAATGTGGCTTCAGCATCGGAACTGTGGCCGTCACTAAGGCATTATGGGTAAGGAAAAAAAGGTCAACGTAAAATTAGATCATACCATGAGACTCGACACTCAAGTACAGTACGCTAAAAGTGTGAGTTGTGACCCGCAAAGTGACATTCAGGTGTTCAAACAGAATGTGGGAAGAACGTCTTCCAGAGACACAAACAGTGTTTTACAGCAGCGGTCCTCAACCTTTTTTGTACCAAGGACCAGTTGGCCAGTATCACCCTTCACTGCGGACCATCTGCCACCATTGAAGGATCATTCAATTTTCAAAATAAAACATCTTTTAGACTTTCCTCTGTTAGTATCAGAGTCTGAATGACCTATCGTTTTGTAACATTGACAGATTATCTTTAAATTATAAAAGTAAAGGAATATGACTGGGTTCCCTTTTGATGAAGTAAATTAGTCATTTTTTCAGTGTCCTACTGCGGCCCCGTACCAAATGATCCACAGACTGGCACCGGTCCCCAGACCAGGGGTTGGGGACCCCTGTATAACAGAAAAGAACTCTTTCCAGTTATTTTTTAAAAATTATTTTGTTGTTAATATATTGCGGTAAATAAGACCAGACCAGTTTGACTTTTAATAAGAGGAGATAATTGTTGCTCCGCAGTGTTTCTGTAAAGAAATGTGCAATTTTTTTGTATTCTGTAATTGTAGACAACAATTTCGGTTGATAAGTTAACACAAATAAAGGATCTAATCTAATGTGTTTCATTTGTCTGGAGCTCATTTTGTCTCAAAAGCACAGTAATTAAAAAATGGTACCAAAAATGGAACTCAAAACCATGAGTTGTATCCTGAGTTGCGCGTATCAACATATAAAACGCAGCTGGCAGAGGTGCAACCATCGACCAGCCAGTTATCAGACGGTTCTTGGCATGATCAGCGCTGAAAAGCAATCAGCGAGCACGTCTTGCCAGTTTTTTGCGGCTGAGCGTTTTGAGCATGTGTTTCGTACTGGAGAACAAGTAGCAAAGCTCAATCTAACAAGCTGGAATCAACATGTTAGCCTAGCTCCAACTCACTATTTGTAACTTATGTAACAGCCAGGCTAACTGCCACCACAGACTCCCCTGGAACGACAAACCCGATCTGACATTTCAACGCCATTATCCACCACGGCATGCACAGTGAACCGAGCTGTTATTTTAGTCACAGAGATGCTTGTTTGTTAAAAAAAACTCTTGTCATTAATATGTTTTTAAAAAACATATTAATGACCTGAATATATTAGCAGTGAGAAGCCCTTTTTGTTATTTTTCTTAAGTCTGCACTCTAGTACATCATGTACAATTAAAAGGCACTATGAGGATTTCTGCCTTTTTATGTGCGTATGTTTTATGCATCTGTTGGACCAAATGACTAATCACCTGATTTAAAAAAAAATATATATACATAGTAAAGTAAATATTTTTTTAAAAATATATATATATACATAGTAAAGTAAATATTTAGTTGCCACTATAAAAATTAAACATCTTAAAAACTGACCAGCAGCAAGGGTCACCTTCATAAAATAATAAATACACGTTTGCTTCCAATTACACTTTCACACCTCATTGGAAAATGAATTTCCCTTTATGCACTATAAAATGTCTGTTAGCCAAATACACGATCAGGAGAAACCTGACTATAATAAGCGACGCAGTTGACCCTCGATTTTGTTCTCTGATACAAATCATGTCACTGTCGTTTCTGTGCTACAGTGACACATAAAGTAGTGCTATAATGTTATAGGACGCATGTGCATCCTCCATGATGCTAACCATAGACTTTAAGTTCTTCATTCATAACATTTTGCACATTACAAAATACACGACCTCTCAGTGCCCACGAGGTGCCAACCAACATTTACATGATTGTCACCGATTTGACTATAAGTTCTTGTGTCTTCTGGGCTATCATTTACATCTGTTTTGTTTTTTCGGTTCATAATCCAATCCAAATAGAACGACAGATTTCTACAGCCAGCCAACTTCATATTATTGTATTTGCCTTTAATTTTCCCATCAACATTTCTCAGGTGATTTATTTCTCAGGTCTCTTCAACCACAACCACATGAGCTTTAAGCTTTATGCATGACCTTTATGTACAGACGCTGCTAATGGACAATAATTACCGTAAACATTGAATACAAAGAAGAATTCTACTGAGCCTGTACTACTTGCCTTTTTTTTTCTTCTAGAATTGCAATTAAGTATGGATGGAGATGATGACATCTGTACTTTCTGTTTGGTTGCAACGACATAGAGTTTGGCCATGTCGTGAAATGTCGTGAAAAGACTGTCTTTCCCACAAAACATACGGCAACAATTGAGACAAGATTATATCATAAATATTATACAGAATTTTAAAATGTTAGCAATTCTCTGTTCGTTTGTTTTTTTTATGCTAACATATCAACGTATATTTTGAATATACGTCCATTCTGCACAAAACAAATATTTCGAATATACGTCCATTCTGCACAAAACAAGACGTTGCTGCTAGCGACAAGTTCAACCTCAATGTAGCGTATTTACCAGAGTTGATTCCCACAATGACAAGAAGAGTAAATCTTATCTGGCATCCAGAATGTAGCGTACAAACTAAACAGAAGGTTCTCGTGCTTCTCACATTGACAAACACATTATACTATGTAACATTTCAAAGCTTCTCACGTAGACAAACACATTATACTATGTAACATTTCTAGCCCTACTTCACAACAACTCCTGCTACGTGGGACGTGTCAGCATCATTTATATGTAAAAATGCATGGAAATAACCTCCGTCTTGATCATTTAACATCGGTTGCATTTCTTCTCTGAAATACGATGACTAAAACCCAGGAATACGTTATGAAAAAAAACTACGAAAAACAATTTATTACAAAACCGATATCCGTCATGTCAGACAGAACACTGTCCGTGAACGCAGCATACTGCTGATGAAGGGGCAAAAAGTTTTTTTTTAACCCCGCTGACAACTACTCCACACATTGGTAACCGACGGTTTTAGTTTGAAAGTGTTTATGAAGACGCGTATTACATGACACAGTTATTTTAAAAATAATACTCACCCATAGTTCTGTGCCCCAGTCCATGTTTACAGCTTGTCGGCCAAGCTGTGTCGAGTACAAAAGAACTACTCCAAAGTTTATCCCTGCGCCCGCAGCGGAGGCTCAGAGGAAGAGGAGACGGCCCTCAACGCTCTAAATCCCGGCCTGACGAATCACTTGCAACCGCTACACATTCCGGTTCTGCTTCATTCAGGAGAAAACGTGAACCAGCGTCATCACTATTAGATTAAATTCAGACACACCGTGGCTGTTGTTCGAGTTAGTCCAGAATTTCCTTTGCGAACTAAAGAGGGATAAAGTGGTCCACATATCCGCGTCACTCCCAAATCCTCTCTCTTAAAGGGACAGTACACTGAAGTCCAGCCATAGACCGTCTACGAGTCTTTCACATGAACGTCCGAGGCCCACCAAGGCTTTCAAAATAAAGCACCTTATATGGGTGCTCTAAAATAAACCACAATGTTAAACGCACCGGCGTGATTAATCAAGTAAAAACGTTTTTTTTTCTTTAAAAATAGCTAGCTGTTTATATTGTGTTGTTGTGAAAAAGCTACATATCACGAGAGCATTAATGTCCTGTGAAATTAAACTTAAAGCAACACCATGCAACCTTTTGGTTTGGGCCCTGAATGTGGGCTGCACAATAACATTTGTGTGGATACTAAATATAATATAATGAGCTACATAAATATATATAAAGGTGTAAAAGGTGGCTTTGGCCCATACTATTATGCTGCCATCCAAATGTGGACCGCAATTAAAATAATGATCTTCTGTCCCAATGGCAACAGAGAATGTTATGTTTCAAAGGTTAATTGTGTTAATGCATTGTTTGTAAAGTCTCCCTACTGATGTGCCTCTTGGCAACGGGTTAATTGCGAGACCTCAGTGAAAACCTCAACAAAGCGCCTGAAATTCCCCAGCATGGATGTCAACGATGCAGCCAGATTTACAAGTTCTCTGGCTCGGAGTTATTTATATCGTGCATGACTCACACTTGCTTTGAGCATTTAAGTGGTAACTTAGTCAGGCCTAGTCGACATTAGTCTAGTCTACAAAGTGGATATGGTTTTCAATTGGGTAAATACTATTATATAATATGATATACCTGCCACATATATACTGTACATAATTGTTTCAATTATTCTGCCCCTTCTGGTTGAGCATGGAAGTGAAAACTGTGTCCAAAAACACTTTCATGATCCCTTCTTAGTGTAATTTCTTTTTCTTTTTTTTTTTTTTTTTCATTTCAAAACTTGGGCTCAATAATGTATATCAATCTATGTATTTATTTAATTGTGTCTATATCAATATACAACATTTTCATAAACAATGAAGAACTTCCCTCGGCTACAGCAACACACACACACACAAAAACAATGTAAAAAGTAAATGAAAGTTCCCATAATGAAAAATAACAACAGGTAAGAGTAAGAATAAGTTAGCAGCCAGATAGGAAACATAGCAATAATAGCTTCCACCTAGCCAAGACGCTAATTTAATGCCTGAAATTTTAATATGTACACATTGCGTAACACAGCAAAAATAAATCACTAAACTAATTCTGCCTAGAAGCCAGAGGAATATCGTGTTTAGTTTGGTCAGGAATAAAGCTGTATTCTCCTTGTTTTTTCCGATGTCTGCAAAGTGTTACGAGTACTATGAACACGACGAAGGTGATGATGATGACGATGAAAAGGGAAAGGAGCCAAAACGTGAAGGGTATTCGGCGTCCAGTGTTTCTCCCTTTAAAAATAGAAAGGAAACAAACATGATAATTAAAGTCAATTCACATCGCGTATATTTTGCGTTTCATGAACAAGACAAGAAGAAGAACATATAATACCTGTCGTTAGCAGACGTTTCATGAACAAGAACATATAATACCTGTCGTTAGCAGCGTCACGGACGTTGACGTCGTCCCAACTTTATTCGTGGCAATGCAGACGTAAGCGCCAAGGTTGTTAGACGTGGCTCCTGTGATAGTGACGCTTCTTTGGCGCCCTCCAGTGGCCTGCCTCACATTCACAGCAGATGTGTAATTCCACACGACGGTAGGGGCTGGGTTCCCTTCAGCATGGCAGTCCAGAGTCACGTTCTCACCTAAGGTCACCTCCTTGAAAATGTCTTGTACTTCAAACTCTGGGGGAACTATTGAGACAGAAGAAGAATTTAAAAAATATTTTTAAGATGATTTCAAATGAACCCCGATGTACTTAGGACGCCAGGAGATTAAAAAAAAACATACACAGAACATCCAGGTGCAGCGTGTGGTTGGCTGTTCCATGCCTGTTCACTGCCTTCAGAACATAGACTCCAGCAGCCGCTTTAGTCACGTGCTGTGGTTGAATGATCTTCTCTCCATTTCTGAACCAGCTGGGGGTGGGGGTGGGATTTCCCTCTGGTTCGCACAGAGATTGGACGATCCGACTGTCATTCGGTATAGCTTCGTAGTGATCGGCACAAGAAATTGAAGGAGGATCTGCGAACATGATGTTGGAAATACAAGTCATTTTTGGAGTTTTTAAAAAGGTTGTGTGCTGCTGTTGTCCTTTTCAAGGTTTAAAACACATTTAAAAATTGCCGCAGTAGATGGAAATAAAACTGAGTCAGAAAATATTTTTAAAACTGCATAGCATACAAATGATCACATTGGCACAGATCACCGGAAATATTGCGAATAATGGACATAACGTTAGCCCGATAAAAGTTACAGGGCAAATAGCATAATGAAAAATAGAAACTTTAGACAATAGTTGGATAATGTTAAATATTAACACTTCTATGTTTTTGTTAATACTGATATTGCTACAATATCACATGACACATAACAAATGTGAAAAAACTGGGTCAAATGGAAAATAGAATAGCTTAAAAATATCGCTAAAAGTAATGCTAATATTTATAGCAGTTATGGCCAAAAGCCTTTTTTTTAAGTTTCCCAATAATGTAAAAAAAAAAAAAATTGACAATACTTTAAATAATAGGAACATACAACTTACATTCAATCGTGATATCAACCGTGGTTGTGCTTGCGGAGATTGCGTTGACAGCGTCTGCTCTGTATCTTCCTGACTGATATCTGGTCAGAGGTATAGAAGCGTTCACAGGTTTCCCCTGGAAGTACCAATAAACATCTGGGGGAGGGTTCCCTTTGGCTCTACAGGGCAACATGTCCAGGGTGATGGTTTGCTCTTTACCAGTGCAACGGGCTGGACAGTCCATCTCTGGCTCATCTGCAAATCAAGGCAGGATATAGGTATAGTTTTATAGTTTATACCTTTCACTGTTAAAAATGCTAATGCTAATTTTGTTGCTTTTTTTTTTTCTTTCAAAAAACAAAAAAGTTTATTAACTCATTTGGTTTATTTTACTTCTTCTTCTTCTTCCACTATTATTTCATATAAACTGTTTGTTTTTTGTGTAATTTGGCAACATTTTGCTTAGGTTATGCTTAGGCGTTTTAGAAAAGGAAACGTTGGCTAACTCTTAGCTATTTCTATTTTAAGCTTTTTACAGCTAGCCTTTAGCTTTACTACATTTGACAGACTATCGATTCGTGATAAATCGATCGACGTTATCATTCNTGTAATCATTTAAAAAAAAAAAAAAAAAAAAAAAAAAAAAGGGAAAACCCACTTTCCCGGGTGTGTTTGCCAAACGGGAGGTGTCGTTGGTCCCTCTGGCCCAAAGTCCAAAAAGGCTTCACATCTGATTTCAGCACCATCATCCTCTTTGTTGGTGATGAACTCGTATGAAGACGACTCGCTCACCGGCAGTTCGCTTGTCTCGTTGAAGAAATCCGTCTTCACCAGGTGGTTATCTCTGTACCAGTTCACGATGAGATTTTGGACAGGAGCCACGTTCACGATGTCACACTGCAGTGCGTAGTTAGTTCCCGCTATGTTGCTGTCATTCATTGGGGAGTAAAGAACAACCATGTCTGGATTCTCTGGAAAACGAAACAGTAAATGTTTAGGTTTTTGATTCGTTTTTGATCGTCCAGCAGAAGACGGGGGAATTTTATTATTATTATTATTATTATTATTATTATTAATTTTGTGTGCGTTATAATGCCACTTCATTGCACAGTGTGGCTAATGCACAAGCTAATTTCTTCTGAATAGGTTAAAGTCAGTAGGAGGAGGTCATTTCAGCCAAACTTGGATGACTAAATGGCTGGATGGATGGATGGATATCCTAAAAAAAAAATACACAGACTCTTTGAAGACTGACTTCTGTGAGCCATGCTTACCATCAATTCCCCCAATGTTACAATTGCCCTTTCTCATTCTGCCCTTTGTACTCACTGTAAAGTGTGATTGTTGGTGATGCTGTACACCGGCGGCCATTCTTCAAGGTAACGCTGCACAGTGGCTTTAGATCCCAGTCGTGTAGACTTTGAATCCTCCAGGAAACACTGGTGTAATTGAAAACGCTTAAAGAACCAGACGGTGCCTTCCAGCTCACTTCCCCATCTGCGGATGCAGGTGCGCTGCAGTCGATCGAAACTGGATGTCCAAACGCTACCAGAACTTCACTCGGAGTCAGAACGGGCGTACAAACTGTAACATTAGAAAGGCACACAAAAGGCAGTCAGCGTGATCAAACACTTCAACGTTGACCTACAAATGTACCCAAACACGTACCATCAGGATCCTCAGACGGGTCCGTGGCCACAGCAGGAGCTTCCGTGATGTCATCTTTTACCAGCAGCAGCTGGATTGCCCTGGATGTATGTCCCAGCAGATTACCAGCAATGCATATGTATGTGACGTCGGCGGTCACGTGACTGACATTAAAAGAGCGGCGGTTCTCCGCCATCGCTGACGTGTCACGGGTCCAGGTAAAGGTAGGAGTGGGATTCCCCTTAACATCACAGGTTACCGTCACACTATCACCCCGTCTCACATTGATGACATCGAAATTCCTGCTCATCAGCTCAGGGGCATCTGAAGAGAGATGTTTAGAGATTTTAGCTCTATATCCGGCACTGTTAAAACGTCAAGATTACAAAACAAATCAGCAATCAGTTCGTGTTGACCTGTAGACCACCAAAGGTCAATAGATAAAACATGTCCCTCGAGTTCAGGCAGGGGCAAACTAAGGCCCGGGGGCCAGATGTGGCCTTTTTGCTTCCGTAATCCGGCCTCCCAAAGTTGTCCAAATTATGTTATGAATTTATATTATCATTTTACTTTATCTGCTTTTTTTTCCCCGCAATGTCTGTAGTTCCCCCAATAGATGGCGTAGAAAAGACTAAAAGCATTACAGCCTATTCGCATGACTTTTCATGAAGTCATTTATCTGCTCCTGACCTGGCCACTCCTGTCATATTTTAGGACCAAGAGACAAAAAGTTTGCCCACGCCTGCTTCTAGTTGAAGGACAATATCACTAACCCTAACCCTCTCCATATCAATTATATTATTTTTGTTTCACGATGACCAGAAAACGCGCTTATCAGCTCGATGGAACTCCCCTAACCGTAGAAATGAATGTGAGCAGGAAAGGTTGTCTCTATATGTGTCTCTGCGATGATAGAGCTGTCAAACTCAAGGCACGTGAGCTGAATGTGGACCGCCACATCATTCTACGCGGTCCATCAGAGAATGGGTGGATGGACTGGATTCTTGCAAGCCAATTCCTAGATGACTCTGAGTTATATTTCTGTCTTTTCCCGCTGCTTTCTGGCCAACATTTAGATATTAAGGTTAATGTAGGTAATATAGTTAGGGTTAATTTAGCTAGCTAGTTTGGCTACTTTTAGCCTAATTTTGTTTGTTTGGCCACATTGAAGACTGACACAGTGTTGATGTGTATACTTAAAATGTAACTGCTTCTTACCAGCTATCCTAATCCAAACTATCGATTTGTGATAAATCGATCGATGTAATCATTTAAAAAAAAAAAAAAAAAAAAAAAGGGAAACCTACATTGCACGGAAATGATGTGTGTTTGCCAAAAGTGAGGTGTCGTTGGTCCCTCTGGCCCAAAGTCCAAAAAGGCTTCACATCTGATTTCAGCACCATCATCCTCTTTGTTGGTGATGAACTCATACGAAGACGACTCGTTCACCGGCAGTTTGCTTTTTGTCTCGTTGAAGAAATCCGTCTTCACCAGGTGGTTATCTCTGTACCAGTTCACGATGAGATTTTGGACAGGAGCCACGTTCACGATGTCACACTGCAGTGCGTAGTTAGTTCCCGCTATGTTGCTGTCATTCATTGGGGAGTAAAGAACAACCATGTCTGGATTCTCTGGAAAACGAAACAGTAAATGTTTAGGTTTTTGATGTTTAAGAGTTCTTGTCTAACTTTATGGACAAGTATTGAAAAATAAAGAAGAAAAAAATGTTAAAAAAAATGTTATTATGACAAAATATTAGGGCCACATTGAGGGGGGGTTAAAATAATAATACAAATAATATTAAGCAATTGAACTAGCACATTTAGAATAAAGTCGTAACCTTGCGAGGCAAAAACGGCGTAAATATACGCGAATTGAGTAATTCATCTGAGAGATCAAAGTCGTAAATTTGTGACCAAAATATAGACATAAATAAATCAAAAGACATCAATATATAGGAAAAACGTCGTAATATAAATATGCTAATTAAACGGATGTTTATTACAGGATGCAGAAGATGGAGTATCTTCCTATGTGTAAATCCAATATAAATAAATAGTTTCCCTTCACAAAATACGAGAAAAAAAAACTTACGACTTTATTCTCATTAATTACCATTTTATTTCTCGTTCTTATTCGAGTTTATTCTCATAAATTCGCTACTTTAATATCGTAATGTTTTTTTCAATTCAATGTGGCCCTAATCGTGAATTTATGATATCTATTATTTTTTATTTGGAATAACTTTTTTAAAATGACAATAACGGTTTACATCCCTTTATTTGGGCGAAATTAAATGCTAATGCTAAAAGCTAACCTTTCCAAAAAATGTATGCTATTAAGGTATATTCATGAAAGACTACTGTCTGTTTAGGTTACTCCCAGAGGTGGGACCAAGTCATTGCTTTGCGAGTCACAAGTAAGTCTCAAGTCTTTGCACTCAAGTCCGAGTCGAGTCCAAGTCACGACTGAAAAGTGTCAAATCAAGTCCGAAGTCCTGCCATTTCTGTTTCGAGTCCTTTCTAGTCCTTTTAAATAAAATAATAATATATTTACACGGATCACTTTTGGTTTTGGAGAAGGCATCAACTCTTGTCAAGTCAAGGGGCTCAAGTCCAAGTGACGTCACGAGTCATTGACGTTAAAGTCCAAGTCGAGTGGCAAGTCTCTTTACATTTTGTCAAGTCGAGTCTAAAGTCATCAAATTGATGACTCGAGTCGGACTCGAGTCCAAGTCATGCGACTCGAGTCCACACCTCTGGTTATTCCTACTAAATCTTTGGTTGTACCTTCAAAGTAAATGTGAATTGCTCAATTTGTGTCAAAATACATATTGCGCATATTTCACGGTAATCAAGTAGTAGTAGTATACGATACGAGACTTACTAAATAGAGTTATTTTCAACTCTTTGCTGCATTCCAAAGCGTTATCCAGACGTGTCATACATTCTGCTTTTGTGACGTTCCAGTCTGTCAATTTCAGCGTCCAGGAAATGAAGGGCGTGTCCTCTAAAAAACCGGATGTCGTCGTTCCGTACTGCCAGAATATCGCGTCCTGTATGTCGTCTGTGTTGTTGCAGGTTAGCGTCACCTCATCTTCATATTCCGCTATGACCTCCGAAGGATCCAAGAATATGGGGTTGTCGTCCGACGAACATGCGCCATTTACACCTGGAGACAGATAGATGCACGTCACTCTGAAACATTTTGTTGTTGTTTGCTTGTTGTTGGAGGACGGGGTGATTTGTTTTTGTAAAAAAAAAAAAAAAAAAAAATTACATTTAAAAACGTCTTTATGTTTATGTCCACAAGGCTTTAAAAATGCATACATTTCTTAACCGAAAGAATCACTTTCTTGAAAAGTTCATTTGTTTTTTTTTTTTAGGGAGGGGTGTTGTCAGAGTAACTAGTGCTTTCTTCTAAATAAAATTGGGGAAGTTTTAAGGCTGTCCACACCTTGAGGTGACGTATGCATTCGAGAACAGGAAGGATGGCGTATGAGTCAATGTGTTACAGAGGCGTGTGCATCAGACAGTCATGCATTTCACAATGCGAAAAAATGTGGACATGGAAAGTTAAAAAAAAAAAAAATTAAAGGCTATCTGTCAGATGTTTTTAACCATTAAGGAAAGATCATCTGCATAGAACCGACCCTTGTTGGAGGGAACTTTCATTCAGTGTTGTCAGTCAGTGTTGTTATTTGTGATTGAACAATTGATGTTATACTTAGATAAATAGATATGTTCTGTAAGACAAGTGATTTGTTTGTTTATCTTAAACCTCCTGGGCAAGTTCGAATCCCGGTCAGGGCGGTTGGTACCTTCCAGTGGACTCACCACCCGCAAGAAGGTTCTAGGGGGATTGGTACGGTGCATTGTGATTTGGGCAGCGGTCTTAGACACCACTACCCCCGCGACCCGGTAACGGAAAAGCGGAAGAAATCGGATGGCTGGATGTTGAAGTCAAAAAGCAGTAACCAGCAAATACTAAGGCAGTGTTTCCCGAACTTTTTTTTTTCTGGGGATCCATATTTTAAAAGTGCGGAGCCCCTAAAGGGACATGGGGGGAAGAAACGTATCTAGTGCTCACGAGATACTTCTCTGAGGTAAAGTACCTCAAGCTCACGAGAAAGTATCTCGGGCGCACGAGAAGGTATTTCGCGAGCACGAGATACGTTTCTCTCTTCCTTTTTCCCCCCATGTCCCTTTAGGGGCTCCGTATAAAAGTCCAAACCTTCGCAACTCAAGTCAATACACATTATTCGTAAACTCCTTTGGTGATGATGGTGCTGAAATTTGATGCGAGACGACCCCAAAAAAAAAATCTCCCTCGACCCACCTGAGGGACACGACCCATTCTTTGGGAAACAATGTACTAAGCTAACCTTTCTGCAAAGGAAAGGTAAAACAAAAAAAAATCAGACACAGGTTGCCTATACTGCTATCTAGTTAGCTCAGGCGTGGGCAAACTTTTTGACTCGTGGGCCACTATTGTCTAAATATTGAACAAGGGGAAGAAGATGGCGCGTTCGTGTGAACTGAAGATAAATGACATGTAAAAGTCATGCATAAAGGCTAAAAAGCTAAAATGCTTTTATCATTTTCTACGCCATCTATTGGGGAAATGTAGGTATTGCAGGGAAAAGGCAGAAGTATAATGATAATATAAATAAATGATATCATTTGGAAATGTTTAGCGTGACCCCCGGCCTTAGTTTCCTCATGCCTGGATTAGCTAGTATTAGACCACATGTTGCTCAATTGTGGCTCCAGGTCTGAATTAATGTTAATGTGATAAGTAAGAAACCCGAAAAATAAAACAATACCCTTTTTGTTACTTTTCCAGAAATATATTCTTTTATAATCCCCAGTTATCCAATGGTTGGATATTGGGTCAACATACAAAACAGTAATTTCTTTAAAAAAAAAAAAAAAAAAATTAGCAAAAAGTTAGCATAATAATTTCAATTAAAATTATTTTTCTTGTGACTATCTCAAAAAAGATATATAATGACCAAATTGGTATGTAATCTTTTATATTGTTTTTTTTTTTTAATCTGTTTTTTCTTCTCTTCAATCAAACATGACCATCAGCATCACTCACCACTGAGCAGAAACGGCAGCAGAACAAGGTGCACCATCCAGTGCGGCGGCATGTTGGTGACTATATTACAGAAAGCAAAAAGAGGAGAAAAACGACAGAGACAGAAATCGGTCTCAGGATGGTCCAGAGATGGTCCAGTTTTGGGAGAAACAGAAGCACCCTGACAACAAGATTGACAGTTAAATACAGTTGCCGACAGGTTAATAAGCCATGGTAGAAAGAAGAAAAAAAAGATCAAGAAAAGCAAGAGGAAGTTCCACACCCCTCTAAGGGTGAAAGAGAAAACCACATCCCTGACGCAACGCTTAGTGGTATTTCACCACTTTTCGAAAGTTTACTTTCACAGCCAAACAATTTGTTTTTTTCAATTGAAAGCTTTTAATATTTGATCATTTTCTCAGAAACAGTACAGATACGGATAAAACACAGTTCATGGTAACAACGATTCAGTGAATTGAAGTATAAAAACACTTTGATAATCTCTAACTTATCGTGTCACACCTCATATGCGTACACACAGGGCCGGCTCCACCGATTGGCAATATGGGCGTTTGCCTAAAGCGGTCTGACTGTTAGTCAAGTGGAAAAAAAATGCGTGTTAAAATATATAGGTAAGTGTTAGCCAAAAGATTTTAGCCAAAAACAAAAACCAAATTTTAAACTAGAGATGTTCACTGACTAACAATAAGACGACAAAAAAAAAGTGAAATAGAGAAAAAAACAGATAAAACCTAGCCAAAAAGCTTAATGTTAGCATAAACATAGCTTATATTTCAGTCACTTTCCTCTTTTGGATTTTTTCCTGCTTTTTATGTGACCAAATTTAGACTTATCCACAGGTCTCATGTGACTCACGTAATTTGCGCAAGAGCTGAAGATGCTAAATTCTGACCCTCCCCAACTTTATTTGTCCATTTCTGGAGAGAGAGTAGAGATGAATGCGCGGCCTGCGCAGGGACGTTGACGAAGACATCATGTGGGTTTGATCATCATGGTAACCTGCTTCAGGGAGTAGGCTCCTCCATGGAACTCGGCCCAGTAGACTCCATCCTGGTACCTGCTGCGGTAGTGCCCGCCACGGTACCACACACCGTTCAAGTTGGAGTGGGCGCACATGTGGTACCACCAGCCTCCCTTCTGGTAATGAGCACAATTACCTGATTGGACAAGAAATAGTTTGTTACCTAAATGTAAAAGTAGTAAAAGTAAAAGATCATTATTTAGCATTAAATATATTATATCTATCTAACTATCTGTCCGTCCGTATGTCCATCTATCATCCATCTATCCATCTATCTATCCATCCATCCATCCATCCATCCATCATCTATCATCCATCCATCCATCCATCCATCCATCATCTATCATCCATCCATCCATCCATCCATCCATCTATCTATCTATCTATCTATCTAGTATCCAGAGGTCATGAACCGTGTTTATCATAGGCAAAAAGTAATCACATTCCGTATTTAGCACAAGAAAGGGGAACATGTCATGTCTCTGATCCAGGATGTTTAAAGGAGGTCTGGGAAAGTACACAGTGATTGATGTGAACCAATAAAAATTCCTTGAAATAAAATCATATTTATAGATATTTTTTATATATATCTGCTTGTAACGCAATATAGGGAATGTGCACTCAGACTAGCACTCGCACTCAGTACTTACTTTGCAGCTTGCACAACTGACCCACGACTTCCCCACATATGTTGCCCTCGTTGCCTTTGCACAGTGCTGTCGTTTTTGCCTTTCATTCATTGCACAATCGACACTTTCCTCTTTCTTCAACCCTGCACTATATTGAACTCTGTCACCTGTACTTGATCCGGGACCAGGGGAACTGGTTTCGTTCATCCCATGTCAAAGATGTGTTGTAATGACAATAGAGAACCTTGAGACCTGGAGTCCTTGAGTCTAAGTAGGAGGCGACTAATTGACGTGGATGACTGAGAACCTACATAAACATCCTGACCTAACTTTGGCTTTCAGGTCAGATGTCTGCTTTGCATCAGACCCTTCTCACAAAGTGAGTCTGACACAATAGACAAATGAACTGCCCGGGAACTGTAGACCGGTAAATACTGTCGGGTTCATCCAGATGCGTTCCAAAGACGAAAATCCAATCAATGGAGTTCAATTTTAAATTCATAATATAAATATACATTTTCATATTTTTGCATTTATGTTGTGATTTTTTCTTTTGGGGGGGGGGGTGTTGATCGGTAATCGATTAATTGTGATCGGTCATGACAAATCCAGAGATACCAATCTGAAAAACCTGACCAATCAACACACCTGTGTAACTGTCCTTGTCTCGATCCAGAGTGGTGAAGGCCTTGTTGTTGTGCCACGACAGGGAGTCGCCGGCGCTGCCCTGGTATTGTCCCAACCGGAGTCGGTACCAGTCGCTCTCCGGCTCCAGGTAGAAGCGGTCATATTCGGCGTAAACCTGTCGGCCCTGCCAGTCCTCCAGAGCCACGCGCAGCTTATAGTGAGTCTGCTTGGTCAACCAGTAAAGGTGCTCCAGACCCAGCCAGTACTCTCCATCCAGGTTCCCAAAGCCTTGCTGGAAATAAAAAAAAAAAAAAAAATAGTTTTCATTTTGTAGAATTTAACCATCAAGCCCAGGCATGGGCAAACTAAGGCCCGGGGGCCAGATACGGCCCGTTTGGCTTTTAAATCCGGCCTGCAAAACTTGTCCATATTTTATATTGTATGTTTTATATTATCATTATACTTCTGCCATTTTCCTGCAATACCTTCATTTCCCCAATAGATGGTGTAGAAAACATTAAAATAATTTAAACATTTTAGCCTTTATGAATGATATTTACATTTATCTTAGTTCACACGGACCCTCCATCTATTTACTCCTGACCCAATCCCCCTGTTTGGACTTGCGGCCCGCAAGTCCAAAATTTGCCCACACCCGATTTAGCCTAATGACCTTTTGTCTATTTGTCGAGGCCATAATAAACAACCACGTATATCAGCGGTCCCCAACCTTTTTGTACCCAGGACTGGTCCTCAGGTATCAGCCATTACTGCGGACCGGTAATAGCGCGCCATCATTGAAGGATTATTAAATTTTCAAAATAAAACGTCTTTTAGACTTTAGTCTCGTTAGTATCAGTCTTAATGTCCGGTACCAAACCACCCAACGGACAGGCACCGGTCCCCGAACCGGGGGTTGGAGTACCCTGTCGTATATATATGACCCAACGTATAGCCAATGAACTTACCTTATACTGCTCCCATGTCCTGAAGAAGTTGACAGAGCCATCCTGTCTCCTCTGGATGACCGTCCATCCGCCCTCATCCCGGCTCTGCTCACACCAGGCCTGCATAAGCCGGTTGGTGGTCTGCGGGCGTAGCAGGTAGATCCCACTGGTGATCTCTCCGGAGGTAAGCACATGCTGGCAGTCTCGCCATGGTCCTGATTTAAGATATAATCAGCACAACAGACAGATTAAGCATTAAAATGTATGTGGGAAATATTATAATTATGGTTTATAATGTTTAATTAAACAAGGATAAAGCTGGGAAAAATATTGTTTAAATGATGTTCCTTGTAATTTAAGTTGATTTATATTTTGGGTAAACAGATTTTTAAAAATATTTTATGCACTGCTGTGAGTTTTGAAAACGAGAACTCACATTCATCTTTGGATGAAAATGGGAGTTTACAGTAAATTTTAAAATTTTAAATGATGTAAAATTTAAAAAAAAAGTATTACATTTAACACTAATTTAATTATAACATTTTATTTAATGCATATTTGAGATTAGGTTATCTGTAACCTGATTTAAAAAGCTAATATAAATGCTTTTTTAGTTTGTTTTGTATTTTGAATATTTATATTAAATAAAGTAAAAGGAACTGAATTGCATTTGTTAGTCATTTATTGCAATTTATAGATTGTTAAGTTAGGAGTTTACATTTTATAGTGAATTGAAGAAAATGAATTTCCAGTTTTATACATTTAGAAAATAACTGACTTGGATTTAACCATTTTAAATGTGAATTGATATTATGTTAAAAATGTATTATTCAATTTGACTAAAACTTTGCATTTTGAGCCACATGGAGAAAAAAGTAGCGACATGGAGAAAAATTTGGTCACTGTTTTGCATGATCTCTCTGTGTGTCTGGATATTTTCCAAGTGCTTTCTGAGAGGCAGTAGATGGATGGAAATTCCAAATTGTTATAAATTTCCAAATTGTTCCAAAATTCTATAATTTTATAATGTCTTTGTCTAGTTTATTTTTGCTATATTTTTGTCTCACAACAAGTCTGGGAAACACTGGAATAAGCGGTCAAAAATGGACACATTGAATTGAATCGTAATGAATTGAACTGAATTAAAATGTTTTATGTGAAAGACGAAGTTTTTTTTTTTCTCAACCCCACTGGTGACTGTTTGTTGATTAAGGTTCAGACCGAAGATTATGTCCCAACATGGCTTCAGTTATTGGCTCAGGATCTTGTGTTTTCTTTTTAACCAACACATTGTTAGTGTCCTATGTCTCTGTGATAAGATGAACTGTTTTTACAAAAAGGAGATTCGGGAAAGAAAACACCTCTGACTCTAAAAGTTTGACACATTTTAAAAACTCTACTTTGTTATTTAAGTTGGTTAATGTTTGTACCACGGGGTCTAGCAAATGCTGGAGACTCCATGTGAGTGTCTTCATGTCAGTGTATTGGTGAGTGTTTATTTTAAAGCGTCTTCTGCTCTGATAAGAGCTGACACTGTTTAGGCATTCCCCTGATACAGCTCTCACCGGCGGGTCAATGACTCCGTTGGATTCCGCATTTCTAATGTGCAGATCTTTCACCAGTAAGACCTCGACCACAGAGCCTCTTACACTTGTGATCACAAACACGTAGTAAATACGAAGTAATCAAGCTGATTTCTGATCTTATTTTGACAAATTCAAAGGGCGACCGAAAATATTTTAAGGTGTTTTTTTTTTGTTTGTGTTTGTTTTTCAAAAAAAACAACAAAAAAACGCTATCTTAACGTGTTAGACCAGGCATAGGCAAACTACGGCTCGGGGTCCAAATGCGGCCCGTTTGGCTTTTTAATCCGGCCCACCAAACTTGTCCAAATTATGTTATTATTTTTTTTATTTATTATACTTCTGCCTTTTCCCTGCAATGCCTACATTTGTCCAATAGATGGTGTAAAAAAGGCTTAAAGCATTTTGGAATTTTAACCTTTATGGTTTTACATGTCATTTGTTTTAGTTCATACGAACGCTCCATCTGTCTGCTCAAGACCCGGCCCACCGTCAAATTTAGGACCCATTATGGCCCGCTAGACAAACCTGGAGTCTTCGTGACAGGGAAACTAATGAAAGGGGCCTCTGTTGGGGGGTTGGTTGAGATCTTAGGAGGAGAATGAACTCCGCCTGTTGTTTCCTGCTGTGCTGGTGGAGGAAGAGCACTTTGGTCCCTTTGAACGTCATTGGTCATCTCACTGGCTTTAGAGCTGTAATTAGGCTGCATGTTGGACTGGACTTTGGGTGGATCTGTCATTACCTGTCCAGAAAGGGAAACAAGGACAACCTCAGCTATTTCACACGAAACCAGAAAAACAATTTTCCTGTTTTATTTTGTTGTTGTTGTTGTTGTTGTTGTTGTTTTTGTCACCTACCTCAGAGGATCGCTGGCCAAGTTCCTTGCACTGGCATTGGTCCTCCAAGCGAGCAATGAGCTGGTTCTGAGAGTTCATTGTGGACACGAGAATGCCATATTTTTTCTCCAGCTCCCTGTAATTACTGGACACCTGCAGTGCCTGGGATGGTCCAACCCCCCCCATCACAGACAAAACAGGAGTTGAAAAAGGAGTCAGTAGAAAGTCTTATCAAATGTTGTTGAATGGATTTAATTGAGCTTTATCCACTAATTTCATGACCAGGGTTTTAATTGAGGACACTGTCTTTAATGGAGTGAATAACGCAGGGACATGAATGTATATTTCCTAAAATAAACAAAAACTAAGGATGTCCGATAATATCAGTCATCCGATATTACCGGCCGATATTAGCTTAATTTTGTAATATCGGTAAGAATCGTTATCCTCGTATAATGAAAACCCGATAACGCAATGTCTGGGTTTCGCCCAGATGATGTGACCTAAAAATAGTTTTGAAGTGAAACTGACACCGTTATTTGTATTGCGCACAGAATTGTCATTGGGACACAGCACACCACTGCACACAATGAAATGTGTCCTCTGCCTTTAGCCGCACATATCAGTATCGGTTGATATCGGAAATTAATTGTTTGGACAATATCGGCATATCGGATATCGGCAAAACGTAAATAATAGAGATCCCTACAAAAAATCGAATTAATCTGTTTTCTCAAGTCTTCCCCTAAACACATGATCTAAACTTTCGATTTTAATCTTGTGAAATGATGACTTTATTACCATAAATTAACAAGTCTTTTCTCGTAGCTTTAGGACTTTTTTGTGATAAAAATACAACTTTTTTCTTGGAAATTAAAAAAAGAAATTCACGATTTTTTTCTCTCGTAGTATTTCAACTCTATCCTCATAAATTTACAAATTTAATTTTGTAATTGTATTTATTTTGTTATTTTCAATGTCGTCGCAATACTCGACCATAGTCGTACATTTTCATTAAATTTTGAAAACTGGCTGCTGCTGCTTTTTAGTGCCATCAGATCAACAGTTCTGCCTCATAATGTCCATCCAGTAAATGAATTATTTTTAGTAATTAAAAAACTGCTTTTTAGGAATATTAAAATATGTTGTCTTTTGGGGACGAACATTTTGAAAGCAGCTGTAGACATGTTTGTTGCCATAGAAATCAGCCTAAAAACAGGAGTGTAAAATTGGATTTTACATTTAAATTCATTTCCATTTTTTTACGACAAGCTAATTTGTCAAATCTATTGTAAGGGGCTAAAATGTGAATATCGCGTCTGTTCCCGCAGCCTGCGTTGCTCTGTGTCTAGTTATTATGTCCTTTCACAGCTGACTTAAATATTTACGAACAACAAATGTAATAACAACATTTAACCAGGTGCTTGCTAAGCCACCATTCATTACCAGGGCCTTAAGGACTCACCTGTGCCGAAG